ACATGTTATTTTACTAACAATCAATTCACTAACATTCTATTTCAATGACAATCAATTCACTAATAAGTTTATTTTACTGACAACTATTCTATTAACAGCCTATTTTACTAACTAGGTTTTTTTTAAAGTTGTACTAACATTAACTTTAATTTCAACTAACCTTAATAAAAATGATCAGAATTACTTTATTGGTAAAATAACTGTTGGTAAAATAACTGTCAGTAAAATAAACTTGTTGATAAATTGACTGTCATTAAAATAGGCTGTTATTGAAATAATTGTTAGTGAAATGTGCATCATTCCAGATATTTTATCTCAACTAATTAACAGAATGCTGTTGTTGTAATACTGTCTATATATTATATAAATGTTTATTCAAATTTTACTATTAGTAGGTTTTGAACTCACAACTTACCACATGGGAGGATGACAACTTATCCACTTTACTAAGTTACCACATCCTTTTACTAAAATTTTAAATATGTATTTAACAAATATATATTTTGTTAGATTTTATTTGATAGCTAAAAAAGTATTCTGTCTATATATTTAAACTAATAGTAATTAATGTTATGATAATCTATAATTTAAAAACACTGAAGTGACAACCTTTGTATAATTATGTAATATTTGTGCATATAATCATAACCAATCATGGTTTTTTTTGTTTCCAGATTAGTCTGATTATTTATTTTAAAAATATGAGTTGTTTATTATTAAAATTACATGTTTATTATTTTTTAAAATATGTATTGTTTATTACTGTATTATTAAAATACATGTATATGTTGTTTATTACAGATAGAACTATCTTGTTTATTTAGCAAATTAAAATCACATATTTTATTATATGAAAAATAATATATATCGATTAACCAATCTATTCATAAATTTTTAAGAACTAAAACTTATACCATTAGTTTAGCAAGCAGGCATGTATTTATTAATTTTTATTAAAATTATTAATTTTTTTAGTATTTATTTGTGTTTATCTACAAATCTTCAATAATATACAATAATAATCTATGTATTTATATGTTTAATTCTACATCTAATTTTGAAGTTCTATCTTATACACTATATACTATCTTGTGCATCTATTATTTTAATAAAAAACCTTTGCGATTTTAATACATCTTAAATAGTATATTCACTTTGCAATTGTTAGCTATTTATTTATATTTATAATAATTATAGAATAAATATAATATATATATATATATATCAAAGATTATTTAGTACAACAAGAAAAAACCTTTAAATCATATTATTTAATATATTTTAATAATTAATAATTAATAATAAATATATATATAATTTACAGGTCTTTTTTGCAATCACTTTGCTTATTTTTGATATTTCATATCATACTATCGTAACTTACATTTTGTGAAATTCAAGCTCAAATTTTATGCAATTTAAAATTTCATTAGCTTCATGATTAGTGAATATATTCTTGATAAGACCTAGATATAATCATATAAATTTATTCATTTAATATAATAAGTAACTGTGCAATACAGTTGTGCAAAACCAAAAACCAGAAAAATCTATACAGGCACCATTTTAGTTACAAGAAACAATATTCTTTATTTTAATCCATTTCTGGTATAAGAAAATAACTATTTATAAAAGAAGTTGATAGTACTTGCAATTTGAATATTGGTTTAAATTTCACTAACTGAGTCTAAAAACCTATTGATGAAGTAAATGTCTGACTGCTATATAGTTGGTTAGCTAGCATCACTCAGTTCCAATAAATCTGACCCATTCTGAAGCTCTGCAAAAAACATTAAAATATATATAGCATATTTAGAATGATTAACAAATTTTTTTGATAAAGTCTTTAATGATCAATGATTATAATTTTATTATTCTGATAAAAAATTCAATGAAAAAAAATGAAAATTACCAACTATTTAGCATTGAGGCCTTTAAATTTATATTGGATTACTAATTTTTGTGCCTAAAAAACTTATTTTTACTATTGTTTGTTATAGCATCTTTGATTTTATAGATGTATATGCTCATTCATGTTTTTTAAAAAAAAGATTGAATGATGAATAAGTCATGTAAACCAATCAATTCAAAGATTTTGCATACAGAGGCATTTGCATCTGGTACCTATCTTTTAAAGTATTGTTCAGGGTGCTACACAGAGCACAATGACAGATTACTCAATAATATGCTGAGAATTGTATATGCATATTAACTTGCCTGTAAACCATATATTGTACAAACTTTGTTCCTGATATATAATTTAATATTAATATATTACTATATTTTACAGTCCAAACTACTTCCTGCCATAAAATAATTATGGCCATACAGATATTTAAATAATATATATGATAGTTTATTTATCATAATATATAAAAATCTAATAGAGAGGTGGTTTGGACTATAAAATATAATACTAAGCATATGAAGTACTCAGCTTTTCATACAATATTCATGGATATTATTCAATTTTACAAATAAAATTCTTGAATAAGACCTATTAGAACTTTAACATCAAAGCTAAAAATAGTTTATTTCAAAAAATAAGTTACTAATTTAATTGAAATAGAATTTCTAAAGCTTAAAAATTCTGTATCTAAGGGCATCTGTTTTAAAAAAAAAACTTAATCCTAAAATTTTTATGCTAATTTCGAACTAAGCAATGAAACAATAAGAATAATAAAATAATTACAAAATTTTGTATAAATGTAAATAGAAATTATTATATAAATGTTAAACACATGAGCTTAAGTAGCTTATTTAAAACATACCTTTTCTTTATATTGAGTCCAATACCATGACCTGATCATATGCAAAATATATGAAATGCACCAAGTTCTATATTTGTAATCAGAAACAGTATTTCAGATAGATAGAAAAAAAGTGAAATGTAAATACAAATTAATTAAACATTCTTAAAAATATTAAGAAAAGTAAATCAAATAATTTTATATAGCTTATATTCAATTATTTAATATTGAGTGTAAGGTCATATTTGTAAGTGACGAAACTGAATAATATAAATAAAGGCTGAAATGGCCTCTTAGGAGTGTTATGCTTCATTTGCTTTATTAAATAAAAGTCTCAATCTTATACACTGTCTATAATATTACATTAACACTATACCCACTATAATAAACCAGATAAAAATTATTGTTCATTCAAGTTCTTAATTACATAAATTATCTACTTATCTTGCTGACCTAAGTAACCAAAAGCCTTAATCACCCACCAGCCAATTTTAATACTCTCTTTTGAATGATTACCTATTGTTAGATACAAATTGATATATAGATTAAGTCTTCACAAACAATTTTATAAACAACCAGCTTTTGAACAGATCAAGATATTCAATTTTCAGACTTTACAGTTTCTGACTAATAAATATTGTGAACTCCAAAAATGTGATCTAATCACATGAAAAATACACGAAATGCATAAAGTGCAATTAATTATATTGGGAATAGTATTTTGGATGCAGAAGAATAAATAGTAGACAAGAGGAGGATGTAAAAGCAAATTAAATATTCTTAAAAATATTAAAAAAATGATTGTAAATAGCTTTAAGTAGTTTATTAAATATTAAGTGTAAAGTCATATTTGTAAGTAATAAAATTGAATAATATAAATAAAGGCTAAAATAGCTCTAAGAAGTATTATGATTTATTTGCTTTATATTAAATAACAAGTCCTAACACTATACATCATTTATAAATCATTGTTCATTCAAGTTTTTGATCACATGACTTATCATATCTGACTTCGCTGATCTTAAGTAACCAAAAGCCTTAATCACCCACTAGCCAAATCTAACACCCTTATTCAAAAGAGTACTTATTGTTAGTTATGCGAGATTTTGGATTGTGGAGCAACCAAGTCACAGTTTTTTAAAAGTGCACAATATGATCTTGTAAGCATTATATATGAAAATTTATACAAAGTTATTAAGTATATATATATATAATGTTTTTAGAATAATTTTGTTGTCACTTAGACATAAATTTGAATCTTATAATATCCAAAAATTTGAATCTTATATAATATTCCAAATCTTAATTTTCTTATATACTGTGATGACCAAGTCTAAGTTATACAAAACTTTGTGTGTAACATCACAAAATTAGCTTTAAAGAGTAAGTAAATGAAGCTAAATTTTTGCTGAATTCTGATTTTTTATAGAATATAATATATTGAACTAAAAAATTCTTTTCGAGTATCTAATATATATTATAGATACCAACAGATTAAATGAAGAAGTTTCTATTGAATGACATCTTAGATTAAGAAGAGAAGCTGCAGCATGTTGAAAAGTAAATCAAACAACTGAGCTAACAGAAAGATGTAAATAACAGTGCATAAAAACATGTGTTTGTATATTAATGCTCACTCAGATAGCTGTCTCAAAAGCTTGAATATGTTCTTTTAATTCAAGTGCATTGCAATGACATGCTCTTGAAAGAATAGATTATTTATGCACTAATTGTAGTGCATTGAAATAGATAGAGAAAAGGTGTGCTGGTACATCTAAACATTTTACTTTATTTAGCATGTGCTGTGCACAAGGAAAAGTTCTTCTTTCTTTCCTTCAAGAACTACCACAAATCTTAAAAAATTTTATAACAAGTAATGATTTCTGGTCATATGAATTCAGATGAAAAATATGTGCTTACAATTCAGTTCTAGCTTTTACTTCTATGAAAGCAAAAATTAATAAAAATATTACTAAAACAAGGTGTGTTTATACTTTTTGTATATATAAGAAAATATATCATCAGATTGGATCACTTTTTCCTCAACCTGCTACTGCTTTACCTGAATTTGCACAGATCTATATTTTTGATACAGATCATGAAACACAAAATAGACATAGTCTTATATTCTCTTTAGATATAACTACTCTAATGGAACTTCAAAATATGCTCTATAAAACAAACTCATATGTTCGGATTTTTCAGCAAATAGACAGAGTCTTATAACAAACTCTTTCTTAAAATTTATCAATGGTAATTAAAGACTCTAGGACAACTGATCCATGTTGTTACAATATTTCAAATACATCTGAAATTGCAGCTATTATAGTAGATAATAAAAGTGATGAGACTATTATATACAATTATGATATTGTACTTCATTCATGTTTAGAGAATCTGACCTGCATTTCTGAGCTGCACAAAGCATATGCTCTATTACACTATTTTTTCTTTTTTCTAGAGGTGAAGATGGGTGGCATCTGAATATTCTTTTTCATAGTAAGATGCAAGAGTCTTTTTTATATAATAATATAGATATTAAAAAGTCACAGGATTTAGATGAAGTTAGTAATAGTAATAATCAAAAACATGTTTCTATGATGCAGTATTATGCTTATCAGCTTCAAGTAAGATCCACAGATGGTATAGGCCTATATCTTGCTGGGCGACTTTTTTAGCAGTACATAGTAGACACCTATGCAAATATAGAGCAAAGTCATCTTAATTATTTAAAGCATAACCAGAAAAAAAATTCAAGCTGAACTTTATAGTAGCCTGCAAGATAATATGACTATACAGGATGAGGTACCTCAAAGTTTATTATTGGAAAATATTGGCAAGCAAATTATTTTTCCTTCAAGTTTCATGAAAGGGCTTTGTTAGATGCATCAATTATATCAAGATGCAATGGCCATTATATGTACACTAAGCAAACCTGACCTTTTTATTACTTTTATATATTATCCAACATGGCCTGAAATTGCTAATAAGGTTCTTCATAGGCAGACTGCATCTGATTGTCCTGATCTTACTGCCAGAGTTTTTAATATTAAACTGCAAGCTCTATTGGATGACATTGTAAAAAATAGTATTTTTGAAACTGTTATTGCATATATATATGTTATTGAATTCCAAAAGCATGGCCTTCTATACTTACATATTCTTATTATTCTTGCTCCAAACAACAAACCAAAAACTATTGATAATTATAACAGTATTATATCTGCTTAAATTCCTAACAAGAATATTCATCCATTAGCTTATGAAACTATTCAATGAACAATGTTGCATGGTCCTTGTGGTGTGGCATATCCAAAAGCCCTATGTATGAAAGATAAAAGATGGTTAAAACGATATCTATGTAATTTTTGTACTACTACAAGTGATAATAAGAATGGATATCCTGTATATAGGTGTCGAAAAGATAATTAGTTAGTAAAAGTTAGAGGTGTACAATTAGATAATAAATGGATAGTGCCTTATAATCTATATCTTGCAACTAAGTACAATGCACTTCTATTACTGCAGTTAAATATCTTTTTAAATACATTTACAAAGGTTATGATCATGTGACTATTGAAGTTGAAGGACTACAAGAGATTAGAACATCACATGAATCAAATAATAAAATTCATTTATATTTAGATGCACATTATATTTTTGCATTCAAATCTGCTTAGGAATTATTTTATTATAAATTGTATAATGAAAAGCCTAATATTATAAGACTTCAGGTTCATCTTCCTGGACAGCCTATTGTAACTTTTCAGGATAATAAATGTTTAGACAAAGTAATAGAATATGGAGCCATCACCAAAACTATATTAACTGCATGGTTTAAAGCTAGCCAAAAGTTTTCAGAAGCATATCAACTTACTTATAGTGATTTTTCTACCCATTGGGTATTTGATAAACATATCAAAGAATGAAAACCAAAAAAAAAAGAAACTCAATTGGGTGAATATATTTTGTGCACTCTAGAGCAGGTGAACGCTACTATCTTTAAATGCTGTTAAATATAGTACATGGTGTAACTTCCTTAGAAAATCTTCAGAACATTAATGGAATTGATTATGATATATTTAAAGATGCCTGTAAAGCCTTAAGTTTACTTCATAATGATAGAGAATAGGATAATTGTTTAAATAAAGCTAAGCTTTGCAGTTTGAAGCATAGTTACATCATCTATTTGCTACTATTCTTCTTTTTTGTCAGTCTACAAGACCTAAATTACTTTGGGAAAAGCATATTTTAGCTTTAAGCAATAATATTATTGAAGCCTATAATAATACAGACCAGCACAATAAAGTACTAAAGCACTTGGAATCTATTCTACTTAAGCATGAAATGAGGCTTAAAAATTTTCCAAACATGCCAATTTCAATATTGTTATCTGAGAAACTATTTCAACAAAACTATTTAATTATAGAGGAGCTTCAATATGATATTGAACTTCTTTAGCACAGAGTTAGTAAACTTTATTCATACTTAAATCCAGAACAGCTAACTATATATAATGCTATAATTTTGGCAGTAGAGAACTTGAATCCCAAAATATTCTTCATAGACAGCCTGGGTAGTACAACATTTCTCTACAGTGTTTTACTAGATAAAGTCTGATTTTATAAGTATATTGTTCTTGCCATAGCTTCATCCAGTGTTGCAGCTCTTTTGCTAGAAGGGAGTTGTACAGCTCATTCTCTTTTTAAAATACTGATTGATCTAAATAAGGATTTAACTTGTAGAATCTTACATGAAACAGAGCTTGCAATTCTTCTACAGCAAGCCTGTCTTATTATATGGAACAAGATTCCATGATGCACAGACATGCATTTCAGACTGTTGATCAGACCTTAAGAGATTTAATGAAAGCACTTAATCTTGCTTTAGAATATTAACACTTCAGAGGCAAAGTTGTTATGCTTAGAGAAGATTTCTGGCAAATCTTGTCTGTAGTACCAAAGAGAGAACAGGAAAATATTGTAAGTTCTTGTTTATGATGATTTTCATTGTGGCACCATATTATAGTCATGAAGCTGACAACAAATATGCATCTACATCAAGCTGAAAATGCTTCTAATTCATAGAATTTTACAGATTGGCTTTTAAAATTGGGTAAAAATCATATTACACAAATAGCAGAAGAAAGTCACATTATCCTTCCTGAAGAAATCATTCTTTTGTCAAACAATATAGAAGGCTTAATCAGCTTTGTTAATCTTGATCTTTCAATCTATATTGGTGATTCTCACTATTTAGTGAAACATGCAATTATTGCCTCCAAAAATAATAATGTCAATACAATTAACACAACTATTATGAATTTATTTCCAGGCAAAGCAACTTAATATTTAGTGGGTGTGGCAACTTAGTGAAGTGGATAAGTTGTTATACCCCCAAGTAGTAGGTTATAAGTTCAAAACCTACCAACATTGAAATTTGGATAATCATCTATGTAATATATAGACAGTATTATGATGATGGTATTCTGTCAATCAGTTGAGATAGAATGCCTGTAACTATGGTCGCATCAGCATAACTGGCAGGTCTGAGGCATCTGTGTAATCTGTTACACAGAGGAATGCAAACCGGTACCAGGTGGTGCAAACCTAAAATAAGTCCTTAGACTATGTAAATCCATAGAACTAGGAAGCCAAAGCCTACTTGGAAATTCTAAGCAGAGAGGTAACATGAATCTTTGATGGTACTACTATAAAGGCTAGACCTAAAAAATGAATACCAATGTAAAGGATTCAGATGGGCAAGAACCTCGGGTGAAGGGTACCACCAACTAGACCATCAGATTTTGGACCAGAGAAAAAAGATATTAGACCAAACTTAATATACCAAGGACAAATCACAGTCCTTCTGGGCTATCTGGATTGGAAGTCTGGTTCAAAGCAGAAGTATACTAAAAGTACTAGGAATAAGCTGTGAAGTCAGTACTAGGATCTGGGTGAACTCTGTAAGAGTAGATCATGTTAGTATTCTAAAAGTAGGTAGATAGTTAACAACAGAGAGCCTCCTGTGCCTTACTGCCAGGTAACATACTCTGAAATATATAACAGCCTAAAACTAGTACAAAAAGGATAGGTAATCATACTGCTCATACAGTATACCAGTTAGGTATATACAAAAGGTAAGTTGGGGATTCCAATATAACAAAGCAGATGATCAGAAAATTTAAATGAATAATTTCCTAGTAGATTATAGGTACAGCATCTAATATAGAACCTTAGAATGGACTACTTAAATAGGCAACCAAAAGTTGCACACATGACTAGCTGTACTCTCATCTCTGTAAAAATAGTTGTAATAGCTAACCCAATATAAAGTCAATAAAGTATCACCACAAGTATAGCCTTTAACAATAAAAAAAAAAAACTTAATATTTAAGTGCAGATTCTATTAATGAAGCAACAGATGCTAATAGAAATATATATGAAAACCTCTACTTAATTGAATTTTTAAACAGTTTAAAATTAAGTGGCATGCTCCCATATAAGTTATCTTTAAAAGTAGGTGCTTCTATTATTCTTTTCTGAAATATAAGTCCTGCAAAAGGTCTTTGCAATAAAACACATTTGGTCTGCTGTATATTTATACCTTACATGATATATGCTAAAATAATTACTGAAAAGCATGCAGGAGTCTGTATATTTCTTCCTTATATTACTCTCACACCTTTCAATAGTAATTTACCTTTTATGCTTATATGTCAGCAATTTTCTGTACAACCTGCTTTTATAATAACTATCAACAAAACACAAGGCCAAACTTTAAAGCAAGTGGATATTTATTTGCAAACTCCTATATTTTCTCATGGCTAGCTTTATGTTGTCTGTTCAAGAATCACATCCAAGCAAAATCTTAAAATCTTAACTTTAGATAGGCATGAGAGAGCTGGTTGTACTAAGAATATAGTATATTCAGAGGTGTTGCAATAAACATGATATTATAGCATTTTAATACCTGCTATGTACTGTTAACCTACAAAAATAACCATAACTCTTGAACTACTAAACAGAATTCAATAAAACTACCACTATTCGAATTAGCTTACTGAGATGGTTCTAATGAGATATAGATTATCTATTTCTGATTATAGAATCCCAAGATCAAATCCAATAACTAAATTAATAAGGAAGCTATAATCTGATTGGTTAAATGATTACTGTGTGAAATGTTATACATATCAAACATTTAACATTTATATGATTTAAAGCATATATATTTTATATTATATTTAGTTTATATATATTATTTAGTTTATTTCTTTTATCTATTTTATATATCAAATATATCTTATTTATTTTATTAATAGTAGTTGTAAAATATTTTGTATATGCAAAAGATATAGTGCCTTCTATTCCTATTTTCAACTCCATCTTCTCTGCAATTTTTGAAGCAAGTAATGTAACTAACAAACTTGATCAAATATCTTCCAATAACCTATCACATAACTCATTTAACTTTTATACTGATGGTTCAGTAATTGGTATAAATACAAATAACTGTACTATGAGTATCAGCTGAGTTCAAATAGATTTTAATGACCAAGTTATTCACAAATTCACTGCCAAAGTTCACCTCTGGCCATCCTCTTACAAGGATGAACTCTTCTCTATTCTGTCTGCTATTTCAACTACCCCTCGAAATTCTACAATTAACATCTATACAGATTCTCAATCCATAATATCAAAATTCATTCAACTCAATTAATTACCTTTAAATCCTAATAAACTCTTTAAATTTAATTCTTGGTCATTATGGCATACCTTATTAAACATTATTAAATTATACAAATTAAATATCATTTTTCATAAAGTTCAAGCTCACCCAGACAATACTCTTAACAATCTAGCAGACTCACTTGCTAAGCAACATACAAATGAATTACCATTATATTTCAACTATACAAATATTTACAACCCATATCATTTATTATTTTTTGAAACAGAAAGATTTCCTGTTGAACTTCCTACCAGATACTTTGTTAAAAGTATCTATAAAGCTTACAACTTCACATTATGGTCATTACAAAAACAAAATAATAAATGAATTCCATTAGCCCATTATATTGACTGGAATTCAACCTGACTATACTTTAATCATAATCAAAAATCGATCTACAACCTTACTAATTTTAAACTTAACCAATTCAAATCATTTAAAATTAAAATACTCCTTAATGAACTACCTACTCAATACCTCTATTATAAAATCTATTCTTTAACTTTCCATGATGCTAATTGCTTTTACTGCAATTCAACTATATCACCATTACATTGGTGCACTTGTGCCAATTTCTCTCTTCTTAATACTATCATTCCCAATGCAATAACTAATTGTGTAAACTTAGCCAATTTAGATTTCTCTAACAATAAAACTAAAGAACTTATCCAAAAAA